TCAGGGAAATCCAAATCAAAAACTCAATGAGATACCACCTCACACCAGTCAGAATGGCTAAAATTAACAAGTCAGGAAACAACAGATGTTGGCGAGGATGCGGAGAAAGGGGAACCCTCCTACACTGCTGCTGGGAATGCAAGCTGGTGCAGCCACTCTGGAAAACCGTATGGAGGTTCCTCAAAAAGTTGAAAATAGAGCTACCCTACAACCCAGCAATTGCACTACTGGGTATTTACCCCAAAGATACAAATGTAGTGATCTGAAGGGGTACGTGCACCCCAGTGTTTATAGCAATGTCCGCAATAGCCAAACTATGGAAAGAGCCAAGATGTCCATCAGCAGATGAGTGGATAAAAAAGATGTGGTGTATATATACAACGGAATATTACGCAGTCATCAAAAAAAAAAAGAAATCTTGCCATTTGCAACGACGTGGATGGAACTAGAGGATATTATGCTAAGTGAAATAAGTCAATCAGAGAAAGACAAGTATCATATGATCTCACTGATATGAGGAATTCTTAGTCTCAGAAACAAATTGAGGGTTCCTGGAATGGTGGGGGGTGGGAGGGATGGGGTGGCTGGGTGATGGACACTGGGGAGGGTATGTGCTGTGAATTGTGTAAGACTGATGAATCACAGGCCTGTACCTCTGAAACAAATAATACATTATATGTTAAAAAAAAAAAAAAGAAAAAAGAAAAAGACAGTAGGAAGGGAAAAATGAAGGGGGGAAATTGGAGGGGGAGATGAACCATGAGAGTATGGACTCTGAGAAATAAACTGAGGGGTTTAGAGGGGAGGGGGGTGGGGGGATGGGTTAGCCCGGTGATGGGTATTAAGGAGGGCACATATTGAATGGAGCACTGGGTGTTATTCGCAAACAATGCATCATGGAACACTACATCAAAAACTAATGATGTAATGTACGGTGACTAACAAAACATAATAAAATAAAATTATAAAAAAAAGATTAACTTAGTGTTGGATAAAGTAATAAAATTGGGTAAATGAATGAAGCACAAAAATAAAAGCTAAATTTCACACAAAATTAAGAAACTCAATAGGAAATATTTCAAAATCTGGGTTGATTACTGAGATTATGAAAGATATAATTAGACATAATGGGCCAAAGGCTTTAGGAAGTATGAAAAGGTAAGCTAGAAAGTAGAGAATTACCCTCAGGTGGGTTGCCAGGGCTCCTCCATTCAGAAGAGAACTAGTATATGGTGTGACAGCTGAAATGAGATTGATTTGAGAGGAGGAGGTTCATAATAACATATTAAACGTCAATTCCAATATAACTTCAAATACAACAGAAATGAAGTAGTTTAGATCTCCCAACCAAACTCTGAGGCTTATAATTAATTTATACTCCTGAAATTTGAAAGTAAACTTCTAAAACCAAGCTATTCCTTCATGTGCATAAAACATTTATAACCCCTTGTGAAAATAATTATTACAACAAAAACAAGCTTTGAAATTTCAAAATAAAAGTTCAAAGATAATTTTCTCATCCAGAAAGAACTGAGACTATTTATAATTGCTTTAAAGAAAATAAAATACTTAGGTATAATCTAACAAAACCTGTATGGATCTATATCCTGAGAGTGACAAAATGATGATGGAAGAAATCAAAGATGACCTAAATAAGTGGAAGAATATACTGTGTTCGAGAGTAGGAAGGTTCAACACATCATTTCTCCACAAAATGATCCATGTTTAATGCATTTCCCATTAAAATCCCAGGAAGGTGTTTGTAGACAAAGACAAACTTATCCTAAAGTTTATATGGAAAGGCAGAGGACCCAGAATACTTAAAATAGCTAAACTTTTAAAAATAAAGCATAACATGAGACAAATCACTCTACCTGATGTTAAGGCTTATTATGTTGCCTATAATTATGTAATGTGTGGTATTAGCAGAGGGACAGACAGAAAGATCAATAGAACAGACTAAAGAATCCAGAAATAGACCCATAAAAACATGCCCAACTGATTTTTGACAAAGGTGCCAAATTCAATGGAAGAAGGTTACTGGAGGAACTTTGCAACAAATGGTTACTGGAGTAACTGGACACAACAGGTAATAAAAAAAAAAAAAAACCTCAACCTAAACCTCACATCTTATACAAACATTAACTCAAAATGGACTTGAAAGTCAAACACAAAATCATAAGATCTTTGGATAAAAACACAGTAGAAAATCTCGGCGGCTACAGGCAAAGGGTGATAAAAATAGGCAAAGAATTCTTAGACTTTATACCAAAGCATAATCCATAAAAGAAAAATCTGATAAACTAGATTACATCAAAATTTAAAACTTTCCCTCTGAACGACCCTGTGAAGATGAAAAGACAAGCAACAGACTGAGAGAAAATATTTGCAAACCACATATCTGACAAAGGACTTGTAACTAGAATAAATAGGCAAAAAAAAAAAAAAAATGACCAACATGAATAGAATCTACAGATGGCAAATAAGCACATGAAAAGATGTACATCATTAGCCATTAGGAATGATACAAGTTAAAACCATGAGATAGCACTAAACACCTATCAGAATGGCTACAATATAAGAGTGATAACATCAAAAGCTAGCAAGGATGCAGAGAAACTGGATCAATTACACATTGCTGTTAGAAATGTAAAATAGCACTGCCACTCTAAAAAGAGAACGACGTTTCTTACAAAACCAAAAATGCATTTATCATACAACCCATCAAGTGCACTTTCAGGCATATATCCCAGAAAAATGAAAATTTATGTTCACACCAAAAACTGTATAAGAATAATCACAGCAGCATCATTAGTTAATAGCTAAAAACCAGAAACAATGGGATGTACCAGAACACTCTCTCATATACCCATACCATGGAATACCACTCAGGAATAAAAAAGGAACACACTATTGATATATACCACTTGGATGGAGCTCATGGAAAAAAAAAATGAAATCTATTCATCTCAAAAGGTTAAATACTACATGATTCCACTTATATTAACATTCTTAAAATGACAAAATTACAGAAATAGTGAACAGATTAGTGGATGCCACAGGTTAGAGAGAAGGCAAGAAGGTAGCTGTGCCTTTAAAAGCTGGTAACACAGGATCCTCGTGATGGAATTGTTCTGCATCCTGACTCCGGTGGTGGTCACATAAATCTACACATGTGGTAAAATTGCAAAGAACTAAACACATACACACATGCAAACACGAATGCATGTAAAACTCGTGGAACCTGCTTAAGGTTGATGGATTGTATCACTGTATCCAAACCAATTTCCTGGTTGCAATATTATATTGCAGTTATGCATTATGTTACCACTGCAGAAACTGGATGAAGCATATATGGGATCTCTATATATAATTTTCATACAACGGCATATCAATCTATAATTAACTCAAAATAAAAAGTTAAAAACTTTTTTACCTCCAGTAAGAAAAGAATGGAGGACACTATACAGTTAACTATTTTAAAGACATCACTACAGATGACTGATTTTCATGCTCCCAAGTGGGCAGTTACATAATTAACCTCCATACTACTACTCAGAATCCAAAGACTTGTTTTTCTTCTCTTCCTTCTTTCTCCTCTTTCCCCCAACACTCCATAAACCTCCTTCATAACTGGCTATGAGAGAACCATAGCATATGTGTGTGTGTCTACATTGCGACACCGTGTTCTCTCTAGTTTTATACATACACAGGTGTTTTTTGTTTGTTTATCATTATTAGCATTCTGTGCTCTTGGTTCCCAATTTTAAAATTCATGATACAGCACATTTTATACTCCTCTTTAAAAATAATTAAAATGTTTGTCGTTTTTTGTGACAATAATTGCTTTCAGACTCTGCCCCCACCCCACCCCAAGTTAAGTGGCCCTTTAAAAAAAAAGTTTCTACATCTTTGCTCTACAGTTTGGGTTGATCACTGGTGAAGCCTACACAACAGGGTAACTTCTGTGCACTGAAAACAGAAGATAACAATTGCTAATTGTATAGAATAAGTTAGGTACTTTTTCTAATCACTGAGGTACACCGTGTTAGTAAGCCATTGCCCCTGGGCTTAGCATCGGCATACCAAACATGGTATAGTATACAAAGAAGCACTATAACATACCATGTATTAAAAACACGTAATTAATACATTGCAGAAAGTTAATTTATTTGTAGTTCTGACTTGCACTTGTTCAGAAAGCTCTACTAGCAGGCATTATTCCTGTACTTTTCCCCTAGCTTTGCTTTCCAAACTACTCATCAATTTTCATAAGCCCTAACTCAGGGCTTCTGTTTGATATACATATATACACACACATATATTCACATATACATTGTATACATATTTAGTTCTATGCAATTTTATCACATGTACGCGATACACACACGTACAAGGTAGCATCTAATACAAATTCTTTGTGTAACAGTCATGGGGTAGTACTCTTTTTTCAACTTGTTTCAAGAACAATATCTTTTTAAAAGCTCTGCTATATTCTCAGACTAGTTAACAACATTCTTCCACCTACCTCTCATATTAGTTTCTATCTGGGGGAATAAGGGAAAGCCCTGCCCCCAAAAATGTCTTTTACAAATGTTCTAAGAAATAAAAACAAAGTATTTTTCATGTGGCATTTCTTACACAATGGCCCCAAATGTCAGTTTTATACACTACAGCTATTAGTGTATCATTTTCAATTTTAGAAAAACAATCAAATAATCAAATAATGTATTTCTCCAAAATGACTAAGATTCATGGAATTAAACACCCATTCATTAACAGGTGGCCCATTAACGTGTAAATTTTTTGTATCTTGCTCTTAAATATACAATCTTAATTTTTTCCTAATCTCTTAGAAAGATAATTTTAAAAATATTTTAAAAAATAGTTTTCATTCCCAACCATATGCTGAACTGCAATAAGCAGTCTTAATAGAGCACATTAAATATCCAATGAAAAACAACACAAAACAGCACAATTAGAAGCTGTATAAGTTTTACCTTAATTCTTCTCTCGGTGTCATCTAATTTTAACTCTGCTGAAACTAGTTTCTTTGCCAAATCATCTCGCTCAGGTAGGTGTCTAGCTTCAGAGATCTTTTTCAGTTTCTGTAAGGAAAATTTTGTCCTAAATAGTTCACCTTCTGTATCTTTTACCCTTTTCTCAGTTGCCCGTTCTTTCTCTTGAGATTTTCTTAAGCGTTCTTTGAGTGCTGTAATCTCATTGTTATGACGAGCAATAAGTTGTGAGATTTCATTTTCTGTATCTTCAAACTTATTCAGGGCTTTCTCCTGTCTGTATTGAAGCCTTTTCAAAGCCTTATTTTCTTTTAGGAGCTCAGCTAACTTGACCTGGAGTTCAGTTACTTCATTCTGCAATTCATTGATTTTTAGCAGTCTTGCAGAAAGAACCCGTTTTGTTACAAGATCAGTATCTTTCCGAAGTGGCTCCCTATTGAGGCTCTGGGAGCGAAATCCCACTCGGACTCCCCTTCTGTTTGGTGGACCCTTAGGGCTTGGCTTCCTAGGGGCTAAAAAAGAAACAGTAATAATGTAAAGTGAAAGCTGTACCAATGTAATATTATTTATTCATTCTAACACAAATGGATCTATAACATTCTTTATTTTGTTCCTTAAAAAATGATCTTACAATATTTAAGTATCAAGTTTTATTTAGACTCTTAATATACTGTTTTCATTAAGAAAGGTTCAGAATCCTTTTTAAGAAAGGTCAAGAATATTATGACTTATCAAAATGTTATCCCAATGGTTTACAGGAAATTATTTTACATTGCTTTAAAAAATGGCAGCATCAGACTATGGACTCTGAGAAACAAACTGAGGGTTCTAGAGGGGAGGGGGCTGGGGGGATGGGTTAGCCTGGTGATGGGTATTGAGGAGGGCACGTTCTGCATGGAGCACTGGGTGTTATACGCAAACAATGAATCATGGAACACTACATCAAAAACTAATGATATAATGTATGGTGATTAACATAACATAATGAAAAAAAAAATGGCCAGCATCAAGCTTTACCATTTTTAACTTTATACGTAAGATGGCAAGCCAGAATTCGAACACGAGCATCATCAGCATCAGCATGGGATTTAATAAACACTGGACAAAATACTGTGATACTCAAGTAATTTATGCCAAGATATTTGGGATTATAATTTGGAATGTGGAAATGTATGTTTTCTCTAATTAGAACTCTTTTTCTTTATTTGGGGAAACAAGACAACACACTGTATGACAAGAAGACTTGGGTTTGGGACTTTGATTTACCACTTAATAACTCCTTGGGCAATTTTGCTAAACCTTTCCAGGTCTATTTTCCCCACCCGTAGAATGAGGATAACACCACCTACATAACTAGGTTGCTGTGAGGATTAAACAAAGAATGCATGTAAAAAAGGAATTCTCCACAAATATTCTCTGTCAGTAATAACTTAATCCCATTTATCAGTGATTGAAAATGACACTTTTAGCAGTACAGATGTGATTTTAAATGCTTGCTCAGGGGCTTTCTTTTGTGTGAGGTTCAAATCAAAAACATTTGACATAATTTGAGAACAAGATAAAAACAAAAACCTACACCCTAAAAAATATAGGCATATGAAATCTTTAAACTGTACATATTAAATAACATTTCACAAAAATTTGAAATGTCATTATTTTTACTACAAGTTCATTAAACTTAGACCCCAACATACAAAGCACCTGCCTTTTAAAAAGACATATGGAAGTCTGCCTCAGTTGAGAATAATGAACTTTAATCTCCAAGGTGACTGCATTTTTTCCAAGAAGGAAATGCATTCCAGAGGGGGGAAAAAAAAAAAAGAAAAACTAGAAAACTCAACCTTTCCCTACCCTCTCTCCAGCCATGGATACCTTGATTCCATTATGTAAACAGGTGAAGAGTAACAAGTAATATTTACAATTTATATTACAAAGTTTCATTTAAAAAAATGAAAGATTCTAAAGAATGTGTTTTGAATGTGTACTGATTTGGGATTTCAGTTCTATAATTGTTTGAATACACAAAAGGACGTGGTAATAATAAGAAATGGGGGGAAAGCCTGTTAAGTCTGAACTACACTTTCCAATATAGTAGTAGTCACTAGCCACATGTGGCTTGAGAGATTTGAAATGTGGATAGTCCAAACTGAGATATGCCATAACTGAATTTCAAACACTTAGTTCAAAAAAAGATGCATAATGTTTCAAATACAGTGCTTTTAACTACATTTTAAAATGATATTTTGGATATTTTGGATTAAATAAAATATACTATTAAAATTAATTATATCTGTTTTTCTTTTTTAATGTGGTTATCAGACAATATAAAATTACATGTGTGGCTTGTGTTTGTGACTTGCATTATATTTCCCCTGGACAGCACTGCTCCAATTTTATTTATTTATTTTTTAAGAGTAAGCTTTTTTTTTTTAAGATTTTATTTATTTATTTGACAGAGAGAGACACAGCGAGAGAGGGAACACAAAGCAGGGGGAGTGGGAGAAGGCAGACGCTTAACGACTGAGCCACCCAGGCGCCCCAGCACTGCTCCAATTTTAAATTGGGGCATCCATCATTTCAATTTTCTTTCCTTCCCAACACACTGAGTTAACAGTTTTGGTATCCATATACTTTCACGAAATATGTACGTACTCAATTCTTGGAATGACAGAAACTTTATACATATATTCTATTAGCATGACTACAAACTGATCATAAAAAGTATACTTAACCTGAACTCAAAAATATTTTCTAGCTGCCATTTACTTTTTTTTCATTTTTAAAACTATCAAGATGAATTACAGTGCTAATAAGAGAAAAGATGATTGACTGTCATGTGTATCACTCTTCATTTACCCCTTGTTAAGTCACTATGAAAAAGAGCGTGAGAAAATATTGTTTTTTCTTCCTTCAGGTGATAAAACTAAAACATGACTCCTTTAAGAAACACATAGTAAAGATGAATTATCCAACTATAAAAGACTTAAGATGTTTATACTATTGATAAAACATGAAATATAAATATATAACATGTAATATATAAACATGTATAACTATTAAATTTTATCATGAATATAACTTTTGATAAAGCAACAATTTTATTTTAAAAAATAATTAGATATGCTGAAAATTAAAAAGAGGAAGAATGTTATCAAACATGCAAATCCACAAATTCAAGTGTTTAAGATGCTATTTTAATCACATTTGTTCTTTCCTTAGTTGACTGTACACTACCAGCTTAAAAAGAAACTAATTCAGTGTTTAAGGAAACACTAAAGTGTTTAACTGTAATTTGTGTGGTCCTATTGATTGATCTAAGGTAGACAAATTATCACAGACTTTAATTCAGAAGACAAAACAAAGGAGAAAATAGTACAAGTCAGATTGAAGATAATAACTGAAATTTTCTGCATCACGTTAGAACTGTTTCTCAAAGCTTTTTCTCAATTATCTTCTTAGATAAGGTTAAGAATTTCTGACTCCTTGGGGCGCCTGGGTGGCTCAGTCGTTAAGCGGCTGCCTTCGGCTTAGGTCATGATCCCAGGGTCCTGGGATCGAGCCCCCACATCGGGCTCCCTGCTCGGCGGGAAGCCTGCTTCTCCCTCTCCCACTCCCCCTGCTTGTGTTCCCTCTCTCACAGTGTGTCTCTCTGTCAAATAAATAAATAAATAAAATCTTAAAAAAAAAAAAAAAAAGAATTTCTGACTCCTTAATTAGGTGGGCTCCTAAATTTCTTCTGGGGGAGTAGTGAAAAATTAAAGTATTCCTACCAATAATACCAATAATTCCCCAAATATGTAAGTTATTTCTTAGGAATAAATAGGCATTTTCTAAGGTTCAACCCTATAGTCTATCTGTTCTTAATTAGATAGCAAAAGTTTAATATCAGATCATGCATTCAAACACAAAAGCAAAACAAGAGGCTCACACTGAGACAGATTTGGAGGAAAAGAACAAAAACCTGCAGCACTGTACAGGCAAAAGAAAGAAAGAAAAAGAAAAAACAGCTAACTGTTGTAAGAATAACATTCCTAGGAAGTTAGATCAGGGTCCGCAAGAGGGATGCTTTCAAAAGTAAAATATTCTTTCCAGAGTATTTTTTTAAAGCAAATACTACTTTTCAAAGTAAAAATTTATAAAGGCACATTTAATTATACCCCTGCTTTAATCTGTTCAATAGCTAACTATTTCCCCACAGAAACAGACAGCCAATATATTATAGGTTTCAAGGTGTTTCATGACCTGACTGACCTGTTTTCCTTTTCGACTTCCAATTTTACCCCTCCCTGTGCCTTACAATCTAAACTCTATATAATCCTTCTAAGCTAGTGTTGTTATAACTGTGCTGTATTCATTAATGTATACTGTAATTACCTCATTTACCTTAGTTTAATTTTCTATGGTGTATTTTTCTATGGTTGTCCTTAGATACTTTGTTACTAAGTACAACTGGGGGTTTCTGACCAGAAATTCATTAAGATGAAGAAGAGATTTCTAGAACAATACCTTGTCAAATTATGTATTAACATGTAGTTCCAAACTAGGAACATTTTAATAAGACAAATTATTTCTAATGATTAATCCTGTTTCCATTATAACACAGTTTTACAGAAAACAGAGTGGTAGTCCCAAGTCCCAAACTCCATTTCTAGATTTAATTCAAACTTTTGCAGTAAGCACTGTGTAGCCTAGAGGAAGTAATTTTACTCTCTATATAAAAATGTCCCTTAACTACTTTATAGCAATGTCATTTGCTGCTTTTTAGAGGTGAAGATTAAAAAAGGTATAAACATTTTGTGATTTTTTTTTTTTTTTTTTTTTGCCTTCACAGTACCTCAGCAACACCAAGACAAACATTTATTTAGGGAGAACAAAATGAGAAGGCTTATTAATGGTTCCTTCTTCTGTATATAGTATGATTTTGATTATAACAAAGGATAACACACAGCACCATAGGCAACAACTATATATAACACTATATATACAACTATATATATATATATATATATACATACAACAATTATATATACAAAAATACATCTTATTCAAAATGTAGATCAGCCCATTTCCATGCATATATCCATACATACATAATAACAGAAGTTTCATTCATACAACTTTCCTAAAAACTCAAAATGAGTCTTCTAGGTCCACTGGACTCTTAAAGAATGCTTACCTTGATGATGCACTTGGCTATCTGAAATTTGTCTTTTAGGATTTTTTCCCTTAATACCCGTAGGTGAAGAACTGACCAGCGATGACCGGCCAGAAGACTGTGGGGTAGATCCAAAATCAGATGAACAATAAGAGTAATGGTATTTGCCTGTCTTACTTTCTTGATCATTATCTGGACTTCTTTCTCTTTCCCCCATGGTTTTGAAAAATAGTCTCTATTCACATAATTTCACAGATTCCTTTTTCCAAAAAACTCCATGACAAGCCTGAAGAGCAATGTTTAGAGTCTTCAGATCCTGGTGATAATATTCATGTCTGCACTTTGTTTCTCTAGGTATCTGTAGTAGAGATTAACACATTAGCAACCAGAAGATACACTTTTTGCCCCTACAATTAAGGAAGGGGAAAGGAAACTCATTATATCTCGTGAAATACGTTTTACGGTTAATTACAATGAAAGATACTAAAAGCAAATAATATACTGTTTATAATTTTTAAAATTCACCTATATTTTCACACATTGTTATTTATACTATTTGGAGAATAGACAGAATGTTGTAGGCTGGACAGAGAACATGTAAAATGCCTGACATATAATTGTTTTTGAATAAAAATTAACTGAATTTGACTCCCTTGAATCTTAAGATTTATAATAAAGACAAATGCTGATTTTTGACAGACATATAATGACCAAATCACCATTTTTTTCTTTTCTGGGGAGGCAGGTGGTGGTTAAGGCAAGCCTGCCTACAGGAACAACAACAAAAAAAACCTAACTACATAAAAGTGTAAAACTAAAGTATGTAAAAAATTAATCAAATTAAAACACCTGAAGAAAAACATTTGCAACATGACAGAAAAATGGTTACCATCCTTAACATATATAACTCATACCACCCCATAAGAAAAATATGAGGTCAAACGTTGAATGAGAAAATACATGTTAAGACCCACAGCGGGCAATACAAATGATATGCACATAAAAATATTCAACTTCAGATACCATTTTTAAACTTACCAATTATCAACGATTTTTCAAAACAACACTCAATGCTGCTAAAATGCCTATCAAGAAAAGATCCACAGGATTTTTGTAAAAAAAGTTGGCAAGATGTATTAAAACTTTAATTGCACTTTTAACCTTTGATCCGATAATTCCATTCCTAAATAACAAGAAAATAATCCTAAAAACACAAGAAAAGTTATATACAAATGTTTATGCAGTACAATTTTTTGAAAGATTTATTTACTTGAGAAAGAGACAGAGAGCATGCAACCAACTGTGACACCCAGGTTCCCCTATGGTACAATTTTTTTTAAAAACAGAAGCAACGTAAGTGTCAAACAATTGCAAAATAATTAAGAATGCTGTAAAAATCAATACAGCATAATATCATGCTGTTGTTAGAAACACTTACAAAAAGTCTGTGTTACCAGAGGAAATGTTTATAGTACTATGGTAAAGACAAAATTCAAACTAGTGAATACAATATGACCTCAACTATACATATTGATTGAAAATACTGAGTATTCTCCCCTCAGAAACTGAAAAAAATTGTAAAGTACCAGATACATATACACCAAAATAGTATCTGGGCAACATGAATTTTAGATGATTTTCTTCTCTGTATATTTTTATTTTCCAATAAAATAAAATTGGATTACCTTTTGCATTGGAATAATTGTTTTTAATATTCAGAAAAAAAAACAAAAACCCCATTGATGAAATTAGTATTTCAAGTATAGTGGTTCTAGTACTATATGGAAAAAGACCTATGTACAATGCAGCACTACTACTGTTCACTACAGCAGTATTACAGTGGTAGACAGGACTAAAACAATCAGAAGGACCATCAGTAAGGAACTGGCGACATACAACCACATAATGAAGTACAGTTATTATGAAGCTACTAAAGGAATGAGCACTACCTCTGTGTTTTTTCTGCAGTCTGGAGTGATCTCCACAATATACTAAGAAAAGAAATATGGACAAAACATGTATAGTATATTACCATTATCAAAAAGAGAAGATTACAAGTTTGTATACATAATGCTTCATATTTTTAAAAAGTAAAAGGATAAACTAAACACTTACTGGGAAAAAAAAGGGTTCTGTAAGGCAAGGCTGTCCAATACAACTTTCAGCAAGAATGGAAATGTTTTATAATCTGTGCTGTCTGGTATGGTAGCTGACCACACATGGCTACTGAGCACCTGAAATATGGCAAATGTGACTGAAGACTAATTTACAATTTTGTTGAATTTTAATTAACTTAAGTTTTAAAAGCTATACATAATGGTGTTTGGCTCATTGAATCTCAATGATCTCATTTTTAAAGGAAATAATAATAGTAACAGAATAGAAGAATTAATGTGACAGTTAATTCTAGAGTCTATTCTAGTCTATTCTAGACTAGAATTAATGTGATAGTTAAATAGGATAATTCAATAACTATGACACAATAAACACTCAGTAAAAATCAACAATTACATTTACAATTCAAACATACAAGATGCTTAGTAAATTGATTGATATTCCTTGTCAAAGACTCAGTTTTAATTACAATATAATTAAAAGCTGATCATATGGTATAAATGAGGATTATTTGTTTACACGCATATAGCAGAAGTAGCTCCCTATGGCCTGTCCCATCTTAATCAGAGATGCCACCTAACTTTTCACTGCAAAAGACAGACCCCACAAAACATTACCTGCCGTTCATCTCCTATGCACCAGCACTCATTCTTCTCCACCCCTGCCTCAAATATATGCATATAGTTTCTAAAAAAAAAAAAAAAGGAAACATCCACTGCCCCATTATTCAAGTCCTTCTCCCTGGGATGGCTATTTTAGTGGCTTATACTTTCATGCCTATGCTATTTCTTGAATTCGCAATTTAAGACCATGAAAGATGGGGATTTAACTGTGACTCATTTTAAATGGTTGCAACATGCAATGACTAGTTAGTTATGGAAGGTTTTTTTCTTGGAATTCCTAATTGTCCTTTATTCTTACTGAAAAGAAAAAACAATCTTCCTATATCACTAATATTTACCTAGCTTGCTAGTCATTCTACCTATAGCCTTGAAATCTATTCCATTCCTCCTCTTAAAAACATTTTTCTTAGAGATCAATTATTTCTGATTCTATTTTAAACCAATTATTCTGTAGACCTGTGGTACCACTGTCATTCTCGAATCATTTTTATAGTACTTCTGAGTTAATCCATTTCTAATAGCTCATGTCATCATCTTTATTAGTTTTGATCACCATTTTACTTCTCCATATCCTCAAATAATTCCACAGAAGGGGTAAAAAGGTTGAGATAAATGCTCTGAGTCCTTGTATGCCTAAGAATGTCTTTATTTTGCCCTCCAATTTGGTAGTTTTCTAAGTTCTGCATTCTAAGTTATCTTTCTCAGAACTTTAAAGACACTGTTCCACTGTCTTCCAAACTCTGAGGTTCTTAAAAGATGTCATACTCTTTCTTTTATCCAACATGTATTTCTTTTGAGCTCTCACCATGTAACCATAATGAAAATATCAACCACAAAAATCCCTGCCATTACGGAGTTTACACTCTAGTTATGCTCATCTGATTCTCATTCCCTTATAGGTTATCTTTTTCTTTTCCTCCCTAGGAGTTTTTAGGATTTTCCCTCCTCTTATACTGCAATCCCACAACATGTGTAGGTGTGAGTCTTTTTTCATTAATTGTGTTGCCCCTTTATTTCCCTCTTCCTTTTAATATTGAAACAAGTATCTTTAAGCACTAGAAATGTTTTTGTTACTTTTCTGATAACTGACTTTCCTGTTTAATCTTTCTAAGACTTCTACTGGCTAAATAACAGACTGCTCTGTTTTTCTATTTTCACTCAACTTATCTTTTAACTATCCAGGGTTGTTGTGTTTTTGTTTACTTTGTGCAAACATGTTAAGTTCCAAGAATTCTTTCTTGTTCTGGTTTTTTTAAATAATTATCCTGTTCTTGCTTTACTGAGGCAATATATTTTCATTTCTCTGAGAACACTAAATAGACATTTTATTTAAAGTCTCTTCTGATCCAGGAACTCGGTTTCACATGGTGACAGTTTTTCTTTTTACCACTGGCTTTTCATTTATATATGGTTTTATTTCTTTGAAGTAATTTTCAGTTGTCCATTGATATATAAAAAAGAGAGAAAAAAGAATAAATTGAAAACAGGTACTTATGAATAGGGTTTCCTGACAGGCACACTCTGCTTTAGGATGAATAGCAGAGAATCAGCCATTTTCCAGGGGACTCCCTAAAAGCTAGAATTAGGAGGGATAATCTCCAGACACAAATATCCACCATGACAACTCTACTTCTCTTTTAGGGTTGTCTTTATTTTGATTTCCTCAAGAAATTACTTCCATATTTTTTGATGGGAAAGAAAGGGAGTGGTGAAGAGCAGAGAATATTACACCGAGGCACTGCGTATGGGATTGGGTAGGAAAGAAGGCATAAGTATTACATAGTTTTTCAACTATTCTTCCTTCTCGTTTTCAATTATCCTTTCTCTCTGACTTTTCAAATTCTAAGATCCTCTAAGATTCTTTTGGATACACCTGAATCTGTCTTTGCTGTAGTTCCCTCTTGAATATTTTCAGACACGGTTTTCTCTGTTTCAATGTGTTTCATCTATTGTTACTCTTTTCCTTTTTCAGAAATGTGCGGTGATGTCTTATCCACTGAGAGTACCCTAATATCCCTTCAAAGTCATAGGTTCATTCTGTTGTTTTTCTTTAATATACTTTTAATGTGGTCTTCAAGAAGAGAGAAGAAAAACACAAATCTACATCTTTAATAACAAATATATTTTAAAGCCAATTATTTCAAACAGTTATTCTCACCCTTTTAAGACAACTTGATATAAGCAATCACTTTTCCAAAGTCCAAGAAACTACTATTCAATTCATGCACCAATTCAGTCAACAAAAATTACTGATGGTACAGATGTCATTATACACAATGAGGAAAGCAATCTGAGCAAGAATACACTGAGAGTTCTTTTAGGGCAGGGTCTGGCTCTTCCATCAAAGAGAGACAATTAAGAAAAAGTAATAATATATTACGTACATATCATTTATATAGTCCCTAAAAATATTACCTGTTAGTTATATGAAAAACCTTTCTTAATAGTAACAAAAAAATACAAGAGTAACCCCCAAAATACTAGACAACATCTTATCTTTGTCCAGTGTCCAATTTAGGATCTATTCTGAACTAAGGTGGATATTTCTAACCTACATAAACTTGTAACATCCCACAGTACATTACAATTCTTCATGAAAATATAGCACTCAACGATCTAAGCCTTCTCAAAGAATAAACACTTAGACACCTGAAAATTCACTTTTTACAACTTAGTACTTAGACCTTGTGGAAACATTGTAGCCTGGCTAATAGTACAGTTCACATAAGGAAACAAAAAGTAACCAGTCAGAAACAAAAGACATGAAATATTAGATTAAAAGAAACAGAAAGAAATAAAGATGAAATAAGACAACTACTAAAACAACAGACATTAATTTTTCTTATAAAGTACTGGGGCGCCTGGGTGACTCAGTCAGTTCTGCATCCAACCCCTGATTTTGGTTCAGGTCATTATCTCACGGGTCATGAGATCAAGCCCTGCATCTGGGTTCCCCACTCAGTGGGGAGTCTGCTTGAAGATTCTCTCCCCCCTTCCCGTCCCCCTACTCATGCTCTCTCGGGCTCTCTCTAGAATAAATAAATCTTAAAAAGAAAAGCATAAATACTAAACAACCAATGAGTCAACAAAGAAATCAAAGAGGAAATAAAACAATACCTGGAGACAAATGAAAATGAAAACACAGCAGTCTAAAATCCTTGGGACACAAGAAACAAGCAAAATTTCAAATAAACAAGAAGGAAAGAAATAATAAAGATCAGAGTGAAAATAAGTGAAATAAAGACTAAAAAAAAGGAAAAGAAAAGAAAAAAAAAAAACAATGAAGCCAAGAACTGGTTCTTTGAAAAGATAAACAAAACTGATAAACCTTTAGCCAGACTCACCAAGAAAAAAAGAGAGAACACCACAAAATCAGAAATTAAAACGTAACAAACGAAACACAAAGAATTATAATAGAGTATTATGAAAACTTATATGCCAACAAATTGGA